ATTTACTGGCCCTGCGCACTTTTATATACGCGTATGTGTGCGGAAAAAAAATGTCGCGAGCGAGGGTCGCACATATTTTTCATCGTCGGGTTTTTTAAATCGTCTCGCTGCTCTCGTTCGTTAAATATACGCGAAGCATTCTTGGTACGATAATCTACTTAATAATAATAATAATAATAATAACAATAATAACAATAATAACAATAATAACAATAATAACAATAATAACAATAATAACAATAATAACAATAATAACAATAATAACAATAATAACAATAATAACAATAATAACAATAATAACAATAATAACAATAATAACAATAATAACAATAATAACAATAATAACAATAATTAGATAGTAGATGGACAAAAGACTGGCTGTAATGGAAGCATTAGAAAGTCCTACGTGGAATTTTCGACTCTCGCGCGTACGTTAACTCCATTATCCAAATTAGCGAGCATTCAAGTATTCAAAGATGCTGAAATAGTATTAAAAAAAAGCTAATGCACTTTTTAAAGGACTGACCGATATTGTATCGATAGACCGATTACATAAATAATATTGCTACAATTATATTAAATGGCACATTTAAAATGTTCAAAGATTTTCGAGTTCTTACACAGATTCTCGAAGTAGAATAGAAGTTTGGTAAAAAGTCGTAACATTCGCGCATAAAAAAATTCCAACGGCACGCAAGTGAATCCCGAGGTCAGATAGAAAATCATAACGTATAAACAAAAAATCATGCTCACGCTCGACCGAGTCATGAAATTATGACACCTTTTTCATATCCTAGAATCGTAAAGGAACAAAAGCAATAACCAACTACACACTCGGCTCCCATGCCCAAGAGCGCAAAAGCCACGTTTCCACGTTATGCGACTATAACTTTAAGCCATTAAGTGGATTTTGTGTAAAGTAGAGTCACCGCTCCAGTCCTTTATCACACCGATCACACGACTAAGCAACAATGAGTTTTCTTATCTACGCTCGGTTGCCTGCGATCTCCCCGTGTTTTCACGCCCCAATGTCGAATCCATACGCGGCGTTGGAGCGCTTTAAAGTCTGGGCGCGCTTAGACTTTATTGGGAAATGGTTTATTGGGTACGATTGAATTAACGATGCCCATCAAGCGTTTTGTTCGGGACTAAAAAGTGCAGAGCGCTCTCTTTGTTTTCTCCGACGAGTGCGAGTACGCCTTTTTTCCTTCTTTGTTCACATTCACGGCGATAAGGGGATTTTGCTTCCAACGAGAAGCTAATTTAGGAAGTGGCGTTGCTCGGCCGTCGAATCGACTTACATTTTTTTCTTCTCCTTTCCTTTTTTTTTTTTTTTTTTTTCTTAGAGAATTTAGATTTTACTCTAGACTTTATGACTAATTAGCCATTCGTAATGATATTCTAATGGTTGCAAGTGCTTACTTTAAGTTAAAACGCTTTGTATTTAGCCGTAAGGTCATCTCGACTATCAGGGATTCGAGTCGAGTACTAAAATAGCCGTTTTTAATCGTGTGAGCAATGAAATGGAGAAGATTCTCGATTTTTTTTTTCTTGAAGCTCATTCTACAAGAGCACGTTTCAGAACTTCACGATTACTTCTAAGATATTTAATTTCTAATAATTACAACTCTATGATGGATCGAAAGCACAAATGGAATCAATTATATTACAGTAAAATGTCATATCGACAATTATAATTACAAGTAGTCAATCTAAGCAAAAGAGCTTTGAATGAATACGAATTGTACGCTCGGCTTCTCGTGGAATCTGCGTTTATCCGAATTAAATTTCTTCAAAATATTTTCAGTTTTCAATAAATCGTTAAACAGTACCGTTACGATTAAATTCAAACATTTTCATTTTCCTATCATTTGGTAAATTATCTTGTGAAGTTACGGTTCTGCCCTTGCGCAATATTATCTGCCATATCAAGCACACGCGAATAAGTTCAATTGATTGATTTGATAATAATTTAACGAATCATTTTGATGAAAGCAACAAGTACACGCGTAATAGTCACTTTAATCTCTTCAATTTATTGGTCTTGCAAATTTTCAAGCGATTCCGATGAAACGTTTGTTGAAATAGTATGGGAAGCTACATAGCGCAAAATGTAACTTTAAACGAGTTTAAGTAGCCCAAAATAAAATTAATTCCAAAATAAAAGATCAAAAGGTTTCAGTAGTTCGCATAGTACTTAATAAACCACTAAATGCTAAAAAAATGACCGACCGCGTAGGATGTGCAGCTTTACGAAAACTTAAAAGTATTATATGAAATTTTAGAAAATAATAGGGTACTAAAATCTTGTTAAAATTATTCAAAAAAACGGGGATCGATATGATCGATAAATCTCAGGCATTTTAATAGAGAGATTTTATAAATTTAACAGATTCATAATCTCTATAACTACGATATTTCCTTGGCAACGACTCCTGCGGCATTAAGCAACTAATCCGCGACCGACAATAATTCAATTAAATACAATTATATAAAATATAATGGTAAAGTTTTACGATAAGACCTCCTGTACTATATAAGTACCGGTGTAGCAGCGAGGAAGAAGACACCGCGGTAATTACTCCGAACATTATACATATATTATATTATAATAATCGGAAATTACGAATAATTGAGGGGCTAAAATAAAAAAAAAAAAATAAATAAAAAAATAAATAAAAAAAAAAAAAACGAGAAGAAAAAAAAAAGAAAAAAAATAGAAGCCTAAACTCATGGGATAGAAATGACAGTTTTAAGAAGGAGCAATTACAATGAATGAAAACTCTGTCAATTTTAATATAAGCGAAAGAAAGAAAATATGGAAGAAAAAACGAAGGGATTATCTCGTTTGGCCTGTCGATAAGCCATATAATATATAGGATGCGGTGATAATTGCGGCGGCCTCGGCTACCATGCGGCCGGCCCTTAAACATAAAAAAATTTCAAAAAACGCACCGCTCCCAGCGAGGTCCATCGGCCCTGCGATACGACGAGCGAACCTTATCATCATGCGCGCCTCTTTTATCAAGGAGCTCGACGCAGCCAACGGGTGCTGCGATCCAAGCGGGATTCCAGAACAGAAGGCGCGGGCTCGTGCGTTGCATATG